CTAATCACTGTTTCTTTTGCTGTGCAGAAGCTGAGGAGTTTGATTAGGTCCCATTTGTCTATTTTGGCTTTTATTGCCAATGCTTTTAGTGTTTTGTTCATGAAGTCCTTGCCTACTCCTATGTCCTGAATGGTTTTGCCTAGATTTTCTTCTAGGGTTTTTATGGTGCCAGGTCTTATATTTAAGTCTTTAATCCATCTGGAGTTAATTTTAGTGTAATGTGTCTCTGCTTTCTGCATATGGCTAGCCAGTTTTCCCAACACCATTTATTAAACAGGGAATCCTTTCCCCATTGCTTGTTCTTGTCAGGTTTGTCAAAGATCAGATGGTTGTAGATATGTTGTGTTGCCTCTGATGCCTCCGTTTAGTTCCATTGTTCTGTATCTCTGTTTTGGTACCAATACCATGCTGTTTTGATTACTGTAGCCTTGTAGTATAGTTTGAAGTCTGGTAGTGTGATGCCCTCCACTTTGTTCTTTTTGCTTAGAATTGACTTGGCTATGCGGGCTCTCTTTTGGTTCCATATGAAGTTTAAGGTGGTTTTTTCCAGTTCTGTGAAGAAGGTCATTGGTAGCTTGATGGAGATAGCATTGAATCTATAAATTACTTTGGGCAGTATGTCCATTTTCATGATATTGATTCTTCCTAACCATGAACATGGAATGTTTCTCCATCTGTTTGTATCCTCTCTTATTTTGTTGAGCAGTGGTTCGTAGTTCTTCTTGAAGAGGTCCTTTATGTTCCTTGTTAGTTATATTCCTAGGTATTTTATTCTTTTTGTAGCAATTGTGAATGGCAGTGCATTCTTGATTTGGCTCTCTTTAAGTCTGTTATTGGTGTATAGGAATGCTTGTGATTTTTGTACCTTAATTTTGTATCCTGAGACTTTGCTGAAGTTGCTTATCAGTTTCAGGAGATTTTGGGCTGAGATGATGGGGTCTTCTAGATATAAAATCATGGTGTCTGCAAATAGAGACAATTAGACTTTCTCCTTTCCTATTTGAATACCCTTTATGTCTTTTCTTGCCTGATTGTTCTGGCTAGAACTTCCAGTACTATATTGAATAGGAGTGGTGAGAGAGGGCTGAGGCTAGTCTTAAACTCTTGGCCTCATGTGATCCTCCCATCTCTGCCTCCCAAAGTGTTGGAATTGCAAACACAAGCCACCATGCGCTGTCCTATTTTGTTTTTCATATATAACTTACCTGAATCTATATGCGCATGCTAGGAATCTTATTTATTTATTTGTATTTGTATTTTTCTTTTTTTTGAGATGGAGTTTCACTCTTGTTACCCACGCTGGAGTGCAATGGCACAATATCAGCTCACTGCAACCTCCACCTCTTGGATTCAAGCAATTCTCCTGCCTCAGCCTCCTGAGTAGCTGGGACTACAGATGCGCGCCACCATGCCCAGCTAATTTTTGTATTTTTAGTAGAGACGGGGTTTCACCTTGTTGACCAGGATGGTCTCAATCTCTTGACCTGGTGATCCACCGCCTCTGCCCCTCAAAGTGCTGGGATTACAGGCATGAAACACCGTGCCTGACCTGTATTTGTATTTTTACCTTTATTTTCTGAGACAGCATCTTGATCTGTTGCCCAGGCTGGAGTGCCATGGTGCGATCATGGCTCACTGCATCTCTGCCTTGTGGGCTCAAGCAATCCTCCCACCTTAGCCTCCTAAGTAGCTGAAACTACAGGTGCATACCACCAGAGCCAGCTAATTTATATATTTTTAGTAGAGACTGTCTTGCCATGTTGCCCAAGTTGGTCCTGAACTCCTGAACTCAAGTGATATAGCTGCCTCAGCCTCCCAAAGTGATAAGATAGCAGGCATTAGCCACTGTGCCCAGTCTTTAATTTCTTTTTATTTTATTTTTTGAGTGAGCATCTCTCACTCTGTTGCCCCGGTTAAAGTACAGTGGTGCCATCATGGCTCACTGCAGACTTGGTCTCCCGAACTCGAGTGATTCTCCCACCTCAGCCTTTCAAGTAGCTGGGACTTGAAGGCATGCACCTTCATGCCCAGCTGATTTATTTATTTATTTGAGATGGAGTCTCCCTCTGTTGCCCAGACTGGAGAGCAGTGGCACAATCTGAGCTCACTGCAGTCTCCACCTCTTGGGTTCTAGCAATTCTCCTGCCTCAGCCTCCCGAGTAGCTGGGATTACAGGCACGTGCCACCATGCCTGGCTAATTTTTGTATTTTTAGCAGAGATGGGGTTTCACCATGTTGGCCAGGCTAGTCTCGAACTCCTGACCTCATAATCCACCTGTGTTGGCCTCTGAAAGTGCTGGGATTTCAAGCATTAGCCACTGTGCCCAGCCATGATTTTTTAAATTTTAGTGGAGATGAGTACTTGCTATGTTGCCCAAGCTGCTCTGAAACTCCTGAGCTCAAGCAGTCTTCCTGCCTTGGTCTCCCAAAGTGCTGGGATTACAGGCTTGAGCTACTGCACCCGGCCCATGCTAGGTATCTTCGGTATATAGAAACTATACGATGTGTTGCAGAGTGTCCATGTGGTCATATTTGAATATAACAGAAATCATGTAATGAATTTCTCCCCTATTGCTAGGTTTGATACTTGAAAATATATTTCCTTAGAAATAAGTTAAAAGGTCTTTTTTTCTGCATCTTCCTTTCTTATGTGGAGAATGACAATTTAATATCAGTTCATTTGTGCTTCAGGTTGAGGCTGAACTGTCTGGATGGCAAACACTGTGGTGCTAGGGGGAGCCAAGGTTGCCTAGGTCAGAGGAAAGCTGGGGGAAGAGCATGTTCATGATGAGCTGGGGCCAAGGGGTGCTGTGGCCAAAACCAGGCTCTCCTGCACAACACTTTAACTTGCCCTTAGCAAAGCTTGCATTTTCAAATTTAAGCCAAGACCCAGTGGTTCCATCTAAATGCTCTTCTACTGGAAGGATGGTGCCCAGTGCACATTTAAAGGAGCTGAGGCCGGGCATGGAGGCTCATGCCTATAATCCCAGCACTTTGGAAGGCTGAGGCAGGTAGATCACCTGAGGTCAGAAGTTCGAGACCAGCCTGGCCAACATGGAGAAACCTTGTCTCTATGAAAATAGAAAAAGCTGAGCATGGTGGTGCATGCCTATATTCCCAGGTATTCTGGAGGCTGGGGCAAAAGAATTGCTTGGATGAGGAGATGGAGGTTGCAATGAGCCAAGATTTTGCCATTGCATTCCAGCCTGGGCAACAGAGTGAGATTAAAAAAAAGAAAAGAAAAGAAAAGAGAGAGAAAGGAGCCAAAGGTGAGGTGCCTGGTTGGTTATTCTGAGTGTATACAGGGTCTGCTCTGACTTTTTCCTAGACTGGCATAGGGGCTGCCTTCTAGTTGAAATGGCTGGTTACAGGATGGTCGGGGACAGGGAACTTGTTTAGAAGGTGCCTTTGAAAAAAAAAATTAGCCAGAACTGGGCATGGTAGCATGTGCCTGTAGTCCCAGCCACTTGAGAGGCTGAGGTGAAAGGATCCCTTGAGCCCAGGAGTTCAAGGCTGCAGTGAGCTATGATCATGCCACTGCACTCCCACCAGGGCAACAGAGTGAGACCCTGTCTCAATAAAAACCCAAAAAGTGAAAAAAAAAAAAAAAAAGAAAAGAAAAGTAAAAAAAGAAGAAAGTGCTTTTGCATGGCAAAAGCAGTGGTTTTACTTAGATGGTATGTTCATTTGGGGTGCGTTGGGAGGAATGAGTAGGGATTATCAGGGAGCAGGGAGCCTAAAATCCCCAAACCACCCTTGGCACCATCATGGAATGAGTCATGTACTTTATTATTATTTTTTCAATCATATCATACTGAAGTTTATTGATTACATCAAATGAAAATTTCTGTAATGAAAAAGGCAAGTGAAAGTCATAAAAGATGGGATTCACATTCATTTTAGAAAGCACCAACGTAGATGTAAAGAAATTGCTTAAGAGAAAAACGTAGTATTGCAGTTGCATTTTGCAAGCTGAAAAATGATTTTGTCACCACACATAAAATCTGCACATTTATATGCTGCATGTTATTAGAAAATTCCACCCCTCAATTATTATGAATTTTACAAAGTTGGGCTTGCAATTATGCTGTTGCTGATGTATATGTAATAGATATGGAATGAATGTTTTCGGTTTAGTAGATAACATCCTCAAACAATGAGTAGGTTGTGAAAATTACAAAGACATTTTGATAGCTTAAAATTATTCAAATTATAAATATTTTTGGGATATTTTGATCCCATTATTACATTTTTTGAGTCATATACTTTTATACAAAATTTTTATATGGGCCTGGCGCAGTGGCTCATGCCTGTAATCCCAATACTTTGGGAGGTCAAGACCAGCAGAGCACCTGTTTTCAAGAGTTCTCTACTAAGAATACAAAAATTAGCTGGGATGGTGGCACATGCCTACAATCCTATCCTAGCTACTCGGGAGGCTGAGGCAGGAGAATCTCTTGAATCTGGGTGGCAAAGGTTGCAGTGAGCAGAGATTGTGTCACTGCACTCCAGCCTGGGCAACAAAAGTGAAACTCTGCCTCAAAAAAAGAAAAAGAAAAAGAAAAAAAAATGTTATATGATGTGTATCCTATAGTCTTCATTGCAAACATGCAAGACGGGGATGATTATGCCCATTTTTAGATACAGAAATCAAGGTTTTGCATTAAGGTCACAGAGCCTCATGGTGGAGTCAGGACTTTTAATCCAGGTGTGCCAGGCTCTGAAGCCCACCATCCTCAGCACTCCCACCTCTAAGGCAGACCTCCTCCTTTCCTTGTCCCATGAGTCCAGGTTCGCTGTGGAGCAACCAACTTTTTAGCATTCATTCTAGCACCTGGAAGGCTTTTCTTCTGGTGGTCATGTGGTACTGGCCACATTTTCCAAGGAGTGCTGCATCTGTGCTGACCAATGGCTCAAAGCAGCCTAGAGCGAGTGAGTGCTCGCGGCTCAGCATTGACAGACTCACCCAGAGTAATGACCTTTGGTGACTTTTTCTCCAGGAGTTAGCTGTGCCAGTGGTTCATGACGGGGGCGCCCTTTTGGCTTTTGTCTGCGGTGCCATATACACTCTCCTACAGTCTATCATCTCTTACAAATCGTGTCCCGAGTGGAACAGTCTCTCAATGTGCCACATACGGATGATCATCTCTGCTGTTTCTTGCGCAGCTGTCGTCCCCAGTATCCTTTTCACGTTTATGGCTTGTTAAAGAAATAAAGCATTCAATGACACTTGTTAAAGAAAGATAATGAAGACTTTATAGGGACCACTGCAATGGGGTCTGACGCTTGGGGAGAGAGATTGGGCTCAACTCTGAATACAGCATTGTCAAGTGCGAATTTATAGCCAAGGAGTAGGATGAGGTCAGTGGATGGAAAAGTACTAAAAGGAAACCTCAAGGATGAGGGGAATTTGGGCCAAACCAACCTAACAGGATTCTTTCTGAGTACTGGCCATGTGATCAGACATCACCTGGGAAGGGTGGAGGAGGAGGAACCCAACCAGATACCAAGGGTGATCAGATATCAGGGTGTGGGGGTCCTTGCTAAACTGACTTAGCCAGGGTTCTTTGCTAAAACTGGATCTTACAAGGAAGTGCACAGATGGACCTAGGAGAAGTGTCAGGAGCTTGACTGAAGTTCAGCCAAGCAAAGAATCTTTGTCACAGTGTCTCAACAAAGCTTGACACTTCCCTTCCCCCTAGCCAAAAAAAAAAAGATAACAACCAAGTTTCCACATTTTTCAGAAAAACAATTGGGATAAAAGCGTAGATCATAAGAAAATGTCTCAGCATTGGTTAGATCGAAAGTCTCTTTGGGGGAAAGAATGGTGTGACAGAAGGTGGGAAAAGGTAAGAACACTTCAGTCTGTTTACTTTCCTTCTCACAGGGCCAGTTTCATGAACCATGTAAAAATATTTATTTTTCTTTGTAGTGCTTGGCTAAAGACACCAAATATTGATATTGTACTCAAAGGAATAGCCCCATGAAGTGCCTCAAGGCTAAACTTTCCCCCTCCCTTCACGTAGGTGGCAAGACAGTTTGATTTACTCTTTCATGTAAAGAGATTTTAAAAAGCTCTAGGTCACTTATTACTGAGTAAATTAAAATACATTTAGCCTTTTCTTTTTAAAGTCACTAATTTCATTTTCAAAATGAAATCCATTTTATTTTCTAACTCAGCCATGTGAAAAGACATGAAAATATAAATTTAGAATGCTTGTAGATTCCGATTTAGAGAAAATGAAAGCTTTTTCTTTCTTTTCCTTTTTCTCTTATTTAATAAAATATTTAACAAAGGGGGAAAAAAAGCTGTGGTCTTAAAGAGATGCAGAATTCCCCATCTTTCAAAATACCATCTGTAGTCATATCAGAGAAAGCTGCAGGGTCATTAAAAAAGTGATGACTAATGTCAGATGGTAGGAAAATCGGAACTGCGTTAGCAGCAATTTTGTTAGTCTGGGTTGAATTACGATATAAAGTGAGCAAGATTGAGTGAAAACACATCACTTGCTTCTAAATATTAAGTGTTGTGTTTCTTTTCTAAAATAGAAACTACAAAATGTGAAGTCTAAGAATGATTTTGGTTTTTCTTCCATCTTAGGGAAGGACATTTTTAATTACAAAATTTCTAAGCACCGAGTAGCCGAATCCTAGAACTGAGACATTTACCACCAAAATATATACCCTTGTTCCTAAGACAGTTGCTTCTCAAATTCCTTGTTCTGCTTATAGATTAAAGGCACATTTTCTCTTTGAATGTATCTCCTTCACATTTGTATCTTGTGTTAGTTGTAAAATGTATAACAGTGGTTGTAGTGTTACAAGTAAAGTTTCTCCATGCAGGAAACCTTCCTTGCTTCCAACTTTGGAAACAGATCCCCAGATATCAAACTCAGAGAGTTTTAGCAAAGTCAGCATTTCAGGCCTCAGAGTTTCACTTACTCATAATGCTCATTTCTAGGAAGTTCTTTTTTTTAGACGAAGTTTCACTCTTGTTGCCTAGGCTGGAGTGCAATGGCATGATCTCAGCTCACCGCAGCCTCCACCTCCCAGGTTCAAGCAATTCTCCTGCCTCAGCCTCCCAAGTAGCTGGGATTACAGGCACCTGCCACCATGCCCAGCAAGTTTCGTATTTTTAGTAGAGACAGGGTTTCTCTATGTTGGCCAGGCTGCTCTCAAACTCCTGACCTCAAGTGATCCACCTGCCTTGGCCTCCCAAAGTGCCGAGGTTACCGGCGTGAGCCACTGCACCTGGCCTCTAGGAAGTTCTTATTAGGAGCCATGCCAATTGGAAGCAGCCCCAGACAGAGAGGGATTATGACCCTATATCAGATTAACTTGAAAGAATTCATCTATATGAAAAGGTCTTCTGTCTTAAATGTTAGTGTATTATTTATATTTCATTGCAAAGAATTGAAAGCATCTTTAAATAGGCCAGGCACCGTGGCTCATGCCTGTAATTCCAGCATTTTGGGAGGCTAAGGCGGGTGGATCACTTGAGGTTAGGAGTTCGAGACCAGCCTGGCCAACATGGTGAAACCCCCATCTGTACTAAAAATAGAAAAATTAGCGGGGCATGGTGGCAGGCACCTGCCACTGCACTCCAGCCTGGGTGAGAGAATGAGACTCCACCTCAAAAATAAATAAGTGAATTAGTTAATTACTTATAATATTAGAAAATTTAAGATTACACATAATATTTCTGTGGGATGGTGCTGCTCTGGAGAGCTCCTTAAACTTCACAACTTAGATTAAGTTTCACTGAATGAAGCTTTTTTCCATTCCATTCTGAATTAATAATTTTCCCTTGGAGTCATTGCCATATCCAGTTCTTTTTTCTCTAGCATGGTACATTCCCTTGGTCTGGTCCAACAAAGTTGTGATGTTTCTGAGAGCTGAGACCAAGTTTTCCCTCCTCCCACCCCCTTGACCAGAATGGTACCTGGTAAACTGAAGATGGAACTAAGAACAAATAAACGAAAGAATTAAGAGGCTTTTAAACCATCAGAAACAGAAGCGTGGTAATGAAATGATCAGAGAATCTTCTGTGCTCTCTACTTCTTTTATTTTGAGAATCAGAAGTGTTAAACTCTGCACAGTTTCACGGGGGGTGCGGGTTAAGAGAGGTGTCACTGACTGAATTCAGAGGAGGCTCTAAACTTTGCTTGGCTTAATTAACACTTTGAATTTCTAATATTTTGTAGACATTTTAGAGCTTCCTATTTCTCTCTAGCTTTCTGTTTTGCATTCTAAGTCAATCAAAATGGTTATCACTGGCTTTGTGCAGAAAGCATTGCCCATGGAGGAGAGGAGCCTCAGCCCTTGGTATTATTAGGCTGGACTGTAGGGGTTTGTCATTCATCCCTGAAGTCTGATACAGGGTGAATCGCTTTGATTTGCCAGCTCTTAGGCCAGGAAGGAAGGGCTCACCTTATACTTAATTACCCAACAAAAGTCTGTTTTTTTTTTAAGATAATAGTTTGAGTTTCTGTAGCTTGTTTTTGTATATGAGCCCTGGCTCTTTGGAATTTTACATTTTTCTTTAAAGCTGCTACCTTGAAAATAGTATTTTAGATCAGGCATGGTGGCCTACCCCTGTAATTCCAGGACTTTGGGAGGCTGAGGCAGTGGATCTCTGGAGGTCAGGAGTTCAAGACCAGCCTGACCACCATGGTGAAACCCTGTCTCTACTAAAAATACAAAAAATTAGCCAGGCATGGTGGTGGGCACCTGTAATCCCAACTACTAGGGAGGCTGACGCAGGACCTCTTGAATGCAGGAGGCAGAGGTTGCAGTGAGCTGAGATCACACAATTGCACTACAGCCAGAGTGACAGAGCAAGACACCATCTCAAAAAAAAAAAAAAATAAATAAATAAAAGAGAGAGGAAATAGTATTTTGGGGTGGGAAGTACTCAAAACGAGCCATTTTAGACTGCTACATTAGTCATTTTGACCAAATTCCAAATTGTGGAATTATTTTCAAAATTTTAACTAGCTGTTTAGCTAAGTTAAAGTGGGAAAATCCAGAAACATGCCAGGTTGTACAACATGTAGCCGCAAATTTTAATAAATGTTGCTATACAAACTGGAAAAGTATTGCAAAGCTATTTCCATGTTGTAATTTAACTCTCATAATCGAATTTAAAATTCGAGTTTATAAGAACCTAATGTAACTGGTTGGACTGTAGAAATGTTGGTATTAACATTTTAACACTGTATAATGATTTTATCGTTAGGAAAACAATCTAGTTTTAACGTTAAAGGAACTGTTTTCTGCTGTAGTTTCCTTAACCTTTTTTAGTGATTGTCTGTGCTTCATTAGTTTCCACAACCAAGCTGGAATGGGACCCAAGCGAAAAGGTAACATTTAAGTTGTTCTGAATGTGGCTGTTGGATGTGGTTGCATGAGATTGTGGCCAGGCTAGGCTCGGGAAAGATCACTGCTGTTTTTTAGAACAAGGTGCGAAATGTGAAGTAAACATAGTATGTATCAATTTACCATCCAATCATTTGGTAGTGTGGATGCAGTAATTAGCTAGCAGAGTAATTCCAAATGCTTCCTGGAATTATTTTCAAAATTTTAAGTTCCTGATTTCTGTCTTTTTTTTGAGACAGAGTCTTGCTCTGTTGCCCAGGCTGGAGTGAAGTGGTGGAATCTTAGCTCACTGCAACCTCTGCCTCCCAGGCTCAAGCAGTTCTCCTGCCTCAGCCTCCCAAGTAGCTGAAACTACAGGCACCCACCACCATGCCCAGCTATTTTTGTTTTTTTTCTTTTTGAGACAGAGCCTTGCTCTGTCACCCAGACTGGAGTGAAGTGGCATGATCTCAGCTCACTGCAACATTTGCCTCCTGGGTTCAAGCGATTCTCATGCCTCAGCCTCCTGAGTAGCTGGGACCACAGGGGTGCGCCACTATGTCGGTCTAATTCAACTTCTGTATTTTTAGTAGAGATGGGGTTTTTTTAGCATATTGGCCAGGCTGGTCTGGAGCTCCTGGCCTCAAGTGATCCCCCGGCCTCAGCCTCTCAAAGTGCTGGGATTATAGGCGTGAGCCACCGCAACCGGCCCTCTAATTGCTTTCTGAAACATTTTAACTATCTATGCTTAGTAAAAGAGGGTAGAGGGACAGTGTGAATGAAGGTATTTGGTGGCCAAAGGGAGTGTGGAATGTTAAGTAGAGAGGACAACACCAGCTCCAGTGTGGTGGATAGTTCATTTCAAGATAGAGTGAGAAATCAATGCAGTCAGGGGTAACTGTGCAAGGGAGTAGTGGCTGTAAGAGGCAGGAGAGGCTGGTACTTGACACAGATGACCAGAGTAAGACTTTGAAGACTTTAGAACAGTTAAGCAAATGGAAAGAGTATTATTAGATGAGTGTTAGGTAGAAGCAATGTCTGGGATGGTTTGGAGAGCTTGGCATGAGGACGGCCAGGAGAAGGCAGTTCTACTAGTTTGCATTTGAAACAGGGAAAATCCGATGGGTTTTGGCAAATGCCTAGCACGAGAATGAAGTGGCATGATGAATCAAAGGCAACTTCGAGGATTTTATCTTAGGTGAACCAAAGAATTTATTTCCTTGACCAGAAATAAGGTCCCTAACAGGGATAAATAATTTAGTAAGTGGAAGTGGATGAGTTTGGTTAGAATTGATGACTCTGCAGATATCAAGGTTAGAAACGTGGGACTTGGCCAGGCGCTGTGGCTTACGCCTGTAATCCCAGCACTTTAGGAGGCCGAGGCAGACAGATCACTTGAGGTTAGGAGTTCAAGACTAGCCTGGCCAATATGATGAAACCCCGTCTCTATTAAAAAAAAATGGACAGGTCTGGTGGCACACACCTGTAATCTCAGCTACCCGGGAGACTGAGGCAGGAGAATCGCTTGAACCTGGGAGTCAGAGGTTGAAGTGAACCGAGATCATGTCACTGCTCTCCAGCCTTGGCAACAAGAGGGAGGCTCCGTCTCAAAAAAAAAAAAAAAAAAAGCACCTTCTTTAAAATGAAACATTAAAATGGTCAAATTAATCTAGCCCTAGGCTTTCCCCTAACGTGTGGGGAATAAGCCCCATCCTCTAAAGAGGGTTCAGTTCCCCTTTCCATTGGTGAGAACCTCTTTCCGAAAGCAAGACCGCATAGCAGAGTGGCTCAGGTGTACTTTACTTTTCAGCCACTTGGGGGAGACCTTCTACCACAAACCCGCTGCTGGGTAGGGCTCATCGAAGTATACTCCCAGGCAGTTAAAAATGTGTTATATTCCACTTTCTACCTTAAAAATGTGAAAAATCCATGGTTTTCTGTTCACCCCATAAATAACTGTGCCATTCTTGTATTTCCTTCTGTTCCTAATATCGAAGAATGTAAAAAAAATCCCTTTACATTAATTCATTGAATAATCATTTAGGTACTGCCCCAAACTTCTGTGTAGTGCTTTACAGCTTTCGAAGCACATTTATATGCAGTGACTTAGTTGGTAGGGAGGGTGAGAATTTTAATGTCACTGTCTCGTTTCACATAGCAAAGATATTAGGGCTTTGCCTGCAGTCAGACTCTTGGTTCAATGTACTTTCATTAATATGCTTAAGAAATTCCTCCCAAAATTCTGCCTCTGTTTTTAGAAGCCATCTTCTTTGTTCAGAGATGATATGGGTTGGGGCAGGTCCCCTGGTGCTGGCACCAACAGGAGGGAGCCTCTGTTCTCTACCTCCTAATGGAAGCTGGTCAGGTTCTTCTCAGCATGACCCAGTATGAGAACAGTGGGTGGAGGTGACCATAACAGGCAGAGTGAAGAGTGGTGGTCTGCGGGCCTGGTGTGCCTCCAGCAGATCTGCCTGGATGGGCACAGGATCAAAGAAAACAGCTGTCACCGTGGCATTGCCCTGTGCAGCCTGACCAACATGGCAAAACCCTACTAAAAATACAAAAATTAGCTGTGTGTGGTTGGGCGCCTGTAATCCCAGCTACTCAGGAAGCTGAGGCAGGAGAATCGCTTGAACCTAGGAGGCGGAGGTTGCAGTGAGCCGAGGTTATGCCATTGCACTCCAGCCTGGGTGACAGAGTGAGACTCTGCCTCAAAAAAAAAAAAAAAAAAAGAAAAAAGAAAGAAGAACTGCCCTGTGATCCAGCACGTTTCCTCACCCTTGTAGCCTACAGCAGAGCAGAAAGTGAAGCAGGAAATCACACAGGCATGCTGACAGTCCCCAGGCCTCATTTGCATGTCAGCTAACGTCAGAATGCAGACGTCCATTTTTGACTTAGAATTTTATTTATTTTAATTTTATTATTACTATTATTTTTAAGACAGAGTCTCGCTCTGTCACCCAGGCTGGAGTAGAGTGACACGATCATGGTTCACTGCAATGTCTACCCTCTGGGCTCAAGTGATCTTCCCACTTCAGCTTCCCAAGTAGCTAGGGCTGCAGGTGCAGGCCACCATGCCCAGCTAATTCTTTCTTGTCTTGTTATGTTGCACAGGCTGGTCTCCAACTCCTGAGCTCAAGTGATCCTCCTGCCTCAGCCTTCCAAAGTGCTAACAATACAAGTGTGCGCCACTGTACTTGGCTCACACTTGTAAAATTAGTTTCTAGCACTGAAAAATCAGGAGATATCACACACATACACACACACAGACAGACGGACAACACACACACACACATTTTTTTTTTTTTTTCAAACCTCTCTGAAAGCAACACTAGTGTACTATTTTCCCATGGAATTGAGCTGGTGAGGTGTGAGCCCCCTAATTTCTCTCTCTTTTCACAACCATTAATTTTATTTATTATTATTATTATTAATTTTCTGGCCTCCATATGCAGCTGAGTTTGGAACTTCTGATTTAAGCTGTTCTCCTTGGCCTCCATTCTCTCATTCTTTTTTTTTTTTTTAGAGAGAAGGTTTCACCATGTTGGTCAGGTTGGTCTGGAACTCCTGACCTAGTGATCCACCCGCCTCGGCCTTACACAGTGCTGGGATTACAGGCCTCCATTCTGTCATTCTTGCTTCCACGAAGATACACAGTTAACATGTGGATGTTCGTTATTAGCATCTTCTTGGTAGCTGTATTTAGGAGGTTAAGCAGAACTATTTTCTGAATGAACATTTCTATATAAACAGGGAAAACATGAAACCTAGGGGGCTAGTCAGCCAGGTTGTCTAGATGGTAACACACATTCTTTGGAACAACTGCAAGGGTGCTTTAAAAAAAAAAAAAAACATGGGGTTTCACCATGATGGCCAGGCTGGTCTTGAACTCCTGACCTCAGGTGATCCGCCCACCTTGGCCTCCCAAAGTGCTAGGATTACAGGCGTGAGCCACTGCGCCTGGAGTTTTTTTTTTTTTTTTTTTTTAAGATTGGGGCAAGAGCTCTTGTTAAGCGTGCTCTTACAGTTAGGGATTCCCAGCAAAGGGAGACCAAGTCATGCCTTGTATGGAAAGTTCTTTCTTCTGTTGAGTCCAAATTTGCTTCCCAGTCTCAGCCATTTGGTAGTCCTTAGTCTACCTTTTGAAGTGATAAACTCAATCGTAAAACGAGAGTTTGTGGAAGCCAGAAAGAACTTTGGAAAACCTGCCTTTGCATTCTCAGTGGGCAGGTGCCCTGACACTTAGTAACGTGGTTGTGATTACCGTATATCCTCAAAGTTCTGACTTATGCTCACTGGACAGCTTTTTCCTTTTTTTGAACCTCTTCGGAGTTATTTCAGTATGTACATTAAAGTGAATCTTTTGAGGCTAAATTCTGTTTCTTTATTATTGCCATTAGGATTATGTATATCATGTAGTGAGTGCGATCTGTGAATGGACAGTGGCCTTCGGTTTTATTTTCTACTTCCTAACGTTCATCCAAGATTTCCAGGTAGGTGTTTATCAATTCAAACTTTTTAAATTGCTGACAATTAGGATTAGTAAAAATTCACTGAAGACATTTTGCATTTTTAAAAAGGGCACTTTCTTTTTATTCTTAATGTGTTTGACAAAAATATGTAAGGATTGCGCAACTTCATTCATTAGCTTCTCCCCAACAGGAGGCATCTCTAACAGCTCTCCCCGCAATGAGATTTTCATATGTCCTCTGCTGATTGATGTTAATAGTCATATCCCGATTCCTTTCCTTCCTTTTCCTTTTCTTCCCTCCCCTTCCCTTCCCTTCCCTTCCTTTCCTTCTTTTTTGAGATGGAGTCTTGCTTTGTTGCCCAGGATGAAGTACAATAGCAGGGTCTTGGCTCACTGCAACCTCCACCTCCTGGGTTCAAGTGATTCTCCTGCCTCAGCATCCCAAGTATCAGGGATTACAGGCCCCTGCCACCATGCCTGGCTAACTTTTTGTATTTTTAGTAGAGATGCGGTTTTACTATGTTGGCCAGGCTGGTCTTCAACTCCTGACCTCGTGATCTGCCTGCCTCGGCTTCCCAAAGTGCTGGGATTACGGTGTGAGCCACCGCCTTCAGCAATCCTGGTTGTTTTCTTTTAGGGGGTCTCTATTACTAGTTCCAAATAATAGAGAGTAAATATATCTTTTAAAAAATAAAAGTGTGTTGTTTAAAAATATTCCCAAAGCAGAGAGAAGGTGGGACTATATTAGATTTGTTCACAGGAAAAATCTTACATTTTGAAACAAGTGAATTATTAACTCAAAGGATATGGAAAGCCAAGAAAATTCCTTAGGACCTGACTCAAGCATAGCACAAACTGTAGTGAGATCATTTCTGAGGTGGAGCAAAGCTGTTGGAAATGTGATTGTCAACGCTGATATCGCTGTCACTGTTGGGATTGCTTAACTTATTTTATACCTTTTTCTTTTCATTTTTAAAAGAGTTTCACCCTAAGGAATCCCATAGAATACATTGATGACATTTGAAGAAAGAAGAATTTGATCTCACTCAGTGAATGTTTCAGGCCATTTCTAGAAGTGCTGCAGAGGACAGACAGGGTGTTGATGCCACCCTGATTATTGGGATGCATCTGCGGCACATCCAGGACTTGAATTTAATTAAAAATTTCTAATAGTTGTACTATTTCTAAAGATGTTTTCCTAAAGAATGTAGAGCCTTGTGACATTGAAGTAATGCTTTTATAATTTTCTAAGTAGATTTTTTTATATTAACAAATTCATATACAGAAAAGACAAGGTGTTACAAAAAAGTGGAGAGCTCTTATTTTTGTACAGATTCTATTTTTTTATTTGTATGTGATTTATGGAAATACACTAAATGAGTAATTTAGGTTCAGTACATTTATTACAAAGTGAATTGGGATATTCATTTGTAAATTTCATTCTTAGTGAGTGAACTGCATGATTTTTTATCACGAGAGCATATATAAAATTCAATTTATAGCAATCATATACCCAAATCATAAAGATTTAGTTAATATATTAACACTAAGATACTCTGATTTTTCGCTAAGCAAAGTGCTTCTACTGAGAGGCCTTCATGCCATCATGTACGGTAGCTCTAAGTGGATACAGAAGACGTTGGTTTTGAAATTCTGCCACCGTATTTCTCCCTGCTCATGAGGCCACATCTTTTGCTGTTGCTGCTAATTGGCCATTTATAGTGAGTGTAATTCCAGGTGTAATGGTTTCAGCAACTCAGGTGAGAACCATCCTCTATTATTACTGGCACAACTTGATATATAGTCAGACCCAGAACTGAAACTCACATCTCAAATTCATTTCATGCCAGTGAATGTGGCAAAGAGAACAAAGGCCCAAGAGCGAGAAGCGGGTGGTCAAGAAGAACTTCTGGGTGTAGGGTGCTGTTTATTCGCTCCTTCTTTTCACGCCTATGGCTGGATGTCCCACAACACTATAGGAAATGTGAGTCAGGCCCTTTGCATTAAGCAGGAACTACAGACTCCACCTTTTCACCCAAATCATGAATAACCAATGAAAAGCAAGCTATTCCAGAGGAAGAAGTAACCCTTGAAATGTTAAGGCTTAGGCTTGAAAGCTGAAGAGCAGGAATTCTCTCTTCAAAGACCCGAGAGCATAAACCCATGTGTGGTCAAGTGGGAACAGCCCTCAAGGGCACATGCCAAGAGCAGAGCAGCCCATGGAGACAGCTTCAAAGGGCATGGCATCATAGGGAGTTAGGGATAGCTCCTCATTAACTGTTGGGTGAGTATAGGCGTGAGGCTCAGTGGCAGTCAGGCATCTCTGCAATGACAAGCTGCCTTCCCTCTATGTGTTTAGCCCATGTTATTGGAACATGTCCCACACCCCTGCCACTGCCATTTGGGCCCTATAAGGCTAAGTAGAATAATCTGGCAATAAAAGGCAAATGTAAGCATACTTTCTTTAAGATGCATCAAAAATGATTTTCTTTAGGTGAATGGAAGAGTTTGACAGAGAAACACCTTTGGAAGCAAACATTAAGAATGCCGACTGGGTGTGGTGGCTCACACCTGTAATCCCAGCACTTTGGGAGGTCTAGGCAGGAGGATCACTTGAGCCTGGGACTTTGAGACCAGAGTGGGAAACATGGTGAAATCTCATCTCTACAAAAAAAGCCAAAAACAAAAATTAGCCAGGTGTGGTGGCATGTGCCTGTAGTCCCAGCTACTTGAAAGGCTGAAGTGGGAGAATCACCTGAGCCCAGGAGGTTGAGGCTGCAGTGAGCCATGCCACTGTCTTCCAGTTTGGGCAACAGAGCAAGACCCTGTCTCAAAAATAAATAAATAAACAAACAAATAAATAAATAAATAAAAAGAATGCTAATCATTTCTGGGTTCACTGTGACTCATTGTAATGCTGGAGATCCCCCTTGCAACACTGGAACTGAAAGTGATGAAAGCTGTGTCAAGCCTTCGTTATCCTGAAGAGGAGGAGAAATGCCACGTGCCTTTCCCATGGGATCCGCAGTGGAATGAATACATGGTTGTGTCTCACTTCAAACCGACTTTCGTTCTCAGCACTTCTCACAATGGATTTTCATGCTTCACTTTCACATCTCTCTGCAGTTAGATTGGGAGCTCCTTGAGGGCAGAGTACGTGCCTTAATTGGGAGCTCCTTGAGGGCAGAGTATGTGCCTTAATCTTTATCTTTGTAATGCCCGCAATTAACACAGTGCCTCCTGGTACACTGCAGGTGCTTAAGAAATACTCACTGAATGCGTGAATGAATGAATGAACAAATGAAGGAATGACTAAGGATGTTTGTAGTGCTATAATATATAATGGAATTTACTCTGGTTTACTAGTTAGTTTCATAATAAACACATGGTCTGTATCACCTGGTAATGTTGACTGTTTTTCTTTGTGTGCTATAAACATTTCAGTTGTTTGGGCATCACCAATCCATGACAACTGTCTTCAACCTGGACAGATACCACAGAAGTTGTTACATGGGCTAGACCAAATGGTACACCTGTCTTGGCAAACTGAGAAGGTCAAAAATCACTCCAGACAATGGTATTCAGCTGATTCCATTCCACCTCTAAAGCTGGTCTTATCCACATTTTGGTATTATTTCTAATTCCAATGAACTTGCATTTCCTTGAAACCCATGACTGAAAGGGTAAAATGAAATATTTCCTTATTTTAGTAATTTGTTTTTCTGTTAAATTATAAAATGTCACCTGGCTACTATTGTGAAGTAGACTATCTAGGAGATGGTTCAGATCCATTAGGAGCTTATAAAGGTATGATTATGATTTAAACCTTATGCTTTAATAATTCTTTTTTTTTTTTTTTTTAAATAAAGATGGGTTTTCACCATGATGGCCAGGCTGGTCTTGAACTCCTGACCTCAGGTGATCCACCCACCTCAGCATCCCAAAGTGGTAGATTACAGGCGTGAGCCACTGCCCCTGGCTATGCTTTCATAATTCATGTACTCTTCCACGTGGGTGCGATTGGTTCAACTTTGTAGCTGCTCAAACATTAGCATCAGAAGTTTGTGTCAGTCAAGATTCAGAGTTGAAGAGATCAGAAATCCAGCAAGAAGGAAAAAAGGGAATCTATATTGCCTCAAGTAACAGACATTTGGGAGTGGAACTGGCTTTATGGATGGCTAAATCGAAATGTGCCATTAGGACTCCATCTTCTCTTTCCTCCTCTCAGCTGGCTTCATTCTCAGGCAGGCTTTCTCCTGGTGGAAGTGAGAGGGCATCTAGAACCTGCAGACCCACAACCTATCCAGAAAAAGAGGTGGAAAGAAAGGACCTCTCAACAGTTTCAACCACAAGCCCATGAATTGTCTCCGATTGGCTGGCTTGGATCACATGCCATGGGGAGGTCTGAGGCTCTGACTGGTCAGACCCGAGTCACCTGTCCACCCCTGGAGCAGGAAGGGGTCAGCACCACCCAAACTACTGGGCTGATGGTAACTGAAAGCTGTTTCTCAGAAGAAAGGAGTGAAAGTGGGTCTCTACCAGAAAAAAGCAGCAGATTCCACTGTGCAATTAAAACATCTTTCCCTTCATATCCCTCCCCACCCAAAAGCTAACCTAACTTGCTTCACAGTAAACCAAAGTATACTTGCCAATGACCTTTTTGGCTTTGAAAGTAAATAAGCCATTTAGGTAATACAGAAACCTTGTGTTAATTCCAAAGTTATGTTTATAGTTTTTAAAGTTCTTGTTTTCTTCTTTAGTTTCTCTTATTTAGAATCAGTTTTCCTGATTCCTAATCAAGTGGGCCTTTTTTTTTTTAACACTAACACAGAGGATTCCACAGAAATTGCATTTCATAAACCAAGTTAAGTGCATCAGTGTTGTGCTGTGTTTGGGTTTCCTCACATCCCTCACTGTGGCATTGTCCCATGTTCACATTTTTACTCAGTTGGAGACATACTCGTCTGGTGTTTGGGCCTGGAATGAGGAAAGGGGAGTGGGAGGAAGATAAGTGGTATCCCATTCTCTCCCACTGCCTGATTCTGGCAAGCCAGGAAGCCCAGCCGCCTCCCCACACACATACTCTTGGTCTGGCTCTGAATGCCCCACATTCTCCAGTCCAGAATGTCATGCATCTGCATCATGTCTGTTGCACGAGAGAGCGACCGCAGCCTCAAGCCCTGGCATTGAGGAGAAGCTTCTGACTGCTTGGTCACTCCCAACAGATTCATATTCTTTTTTTTGAGACCAAGTCTTGCTCTTGTCGCCCAGGCTGGGGTGCAATGGCACGATCTCAGCTCACTGCAACCTCCACCTCCTGGGTTCACATGATTCTCCTGCCTCAGCCTCCCAAGGAGCTGGAATTACAGGTGCCCACCACCATACCCGGCTAATTTTTGTATTTTTACTAGAGATGGAGTGTCACCATATTGGCTGGGCTGGTCTTGAACTCCTGACCTCAGGTGATCTGCCCACCTTGGCTTCCCAAAGTGTTATTACAGGGGTGAGCCACTCCACCTAGCCCCAGATTCATCTTCTAAAACAAAGGGTAGCAGGATCCCAGATTCATATTGGTGGCGGCAGTGACCTCCAGAGTCCATGCTTGGAAAATACTGAAGAAAATGCCAACAATCTGCCAGGTGGTTTAAGACAGGGTGGCGTGGGGTGCCCGGAAAGCCTGTGATTTAGGTAGCTCCTCAGCAATGAGTATTGCTCTGCACCCCACCATCTTCAAGGCCAGTTCCACCTCTGGATGTCTCAGTTACATGAGTTGATGAAAGTCTCTAACTTCAATAAACTGGAGTTAATATTTCAGATGAGTATTCCTGTAAGAGTCCTGACTGATAGCAGACACCCAAGAGTTCCCCTAACATGAAAATACAGTAAACTACTATCATCTGGAGTCATTTTTATTTCATTTTTTTCTTTTGCTTTCTTTTTTTCAGTACAGACTTACCTTCACACGAAAGATCATTTTTACATAAGTGAATTCAGCTGCCCCCACTTGCAAGCTTCACCCTCTGAACCATTTGTTTTTATTTTATTTCAAAAAATTTGAGTAACATTTTCACAATTTGAAACTCAAAACAATATGTAAAGGTATACAGTGAAAAGCCTTTTTGCTTTTCCCTACCTGCATTTACTCGATTCACTCTCTCCTTGAAGATATCCACTTTTTTTTTTTTTTTTAATAGAGATGGGGTGTCACCATGTTGGCCAGGCTGGTCTCGAACTCCTGACCTCAGGTGATCCACCCATCTCAGCCTCCCAAAGTGCTGGGATTACAGGCGTGAGCCACCTCACCTGGCCCACTTTTTTTTTTTTTCTTTATTTCTATTAAGACAGAGTCTTGCTTTGTCACCGAGGCTGGAGTGCAGTAGCGCAATCTCGGCTCACTGCAACTTAGGCTTCCTAGGTTCAAGCAGTTCTTTTTGCTTGAATCTCCTGAGTAGCTGGGATTACAGGCGCTCACCACCATGCCCAGCTAATCTTTGTATATTAGTAGAGGTAGAGAGACAGGGTTTCACCATGTTGGCCACGCTGGTCTCAAACTGCTGACCTCAAGTGATCTCCTTGGCCTCCTAAAGTGCTGAGATTACAGGTGTGAGCCAGTATGCTTGGCCTAGATATCCACTTTTTATCAGGTTTTTTGAAAATACAAGCTAAAACAAATATTTTAACTTGTTTCCCTTTTCATTTTTGCCCCAAATATAGTATACTCTACCGTTTTGAGCCTTACTTTTTTGACTTAGCAATGTATCTTGGAGATGTTTCCTTTATCAATACGTCGAAATCTCCCTCATTTTTAAGGTTAATTTGCTTTGTTTTATACCTGTACAGAATTCCACTGTATGGCTCTACCATCATTTATTTAACAAGTTCCCTATTTTGTGAGCAATTACATGGTTTCCAAACTTTTGCAATTACAAGTGGATGACCGTGTACATACATCATGTCACACATGCTCAAGGAAATCTCTAGGAGAAATTCCAATGAGGGGGATGCTGGGAACTTCATCTGTTATTCTGCAAATGTTATCTTGCCTTTAGAACCTTTGTACTTGAATATTTTTGTCGGAAACCTTTTTTTTCTTTCTTTCCCTTCCTTCCTTCCTTCCTTCCTTCCTTCTTTCCTTCCTTCCTTCTCTTTCTTTTCTCTCTCTCCTTCCTTCCTTCCTTCTTTCCTTCCTTCTCTTTCTTTTTTCTCTCTCTCCTTCCTTCCTTCCTTCCTTCCTTCCTCCCTCCCTCCCTCCCTTCCTTCCTTCTTTCCTTCCTTCCTTCTCTTTCTTTTCTCTCTCTCCTTCCTTCCTTCCTTCCTTCCTTCCTTCCTTCCTTCCTTCCTTCCTTCCTTCCTCCCTCCCTCCCTCCCTTCCTTCCTTCCTTCTTTCCTTCCTTCCTTCTCTTTCTTTTCTCTCTCTCTCCTTCCTTCCTTCCTTCCTCCCTCCCTCCCTCCCTCCCTCCCTCCCTCCCTCCCTCTCTCCCTTCCTTCCTTCTTTCCTTCCTTCCTTCTCTTTCTTTTCTCTCTCTCTCCTTCCTTCCTTCCTTCCTTCCTTCCTTCCTTCCTTCCTTCCTTCCTTTTTTCCTTCCTTCCTTCCTTCCTTCCTTCCTTCCTTCCTTCCTTCCTTTTTTCCTTCCTTCCTTCCTTCCTCCTTCTTTCTTTGTCAACTGCAACAGTGGGAGTGGAGAATGAAGAAAAAAATCTGTAACTAGGCCAGAGGCGGTGGCTCATACCTGTGATCCCAACACTTTGGGAGGCTGAGGCGGGTATATCACTTAAATCTATGAGTTCAAGACTAGCCTGAGTAACATAGCAAGACCCCATCTCTACAAAAAATTTTTTAAAAAAATTAGCCGAGAATAGTGGTGCAAGCTGTGTTCTCAGCTACTTGAGAGATGAGGGGGGAAGATCCCTTGAGCCTGGTGAGGCAAGGTTGCAGTGAGCAGAGATCGTGCTGCTGCACTCCAGTCTAGGCAATAGAGTGAGATTTTGTCTGTAACAAATAGAGTGAGATTTAATCTGTAACTGGTTGTGATCAATTAGTTGTAAACACCACTGCACTCGGACCAGCCAGGAATCTTTCTGATCACACACATTTTTTTCTAAACTGAGGATGCTGAATATGAATTCATGTTTGTGTTTTCTCAGTCATCACTGAGAGCATCCATGATTGTAGATCAGGTGCAAATGTGGATTCTGGAGTAGATGGCATGGGACAGAGGTCTGCCAACTTGGTCACAGGCCTTCAACAAACACCCCTTCTGTTCCCTCTTTTATTGAACCACCTACTGCAGGGAGTGCAAGACTGTGTGCTGTCTTCCTGCTGACAGCAGAACTCTCCTGCCTTCTGCCTCTTCCCCAATCCTGACATGTCTTCTCTTCTTTTTATGGGCAAGAGTGTCTCCAGTT